TCAAAAAGTATTTGAGTGAATGAGTGATGAAGATGATGATTATATTTCATACTTCAGCTTAAACATTTCAAGCTCTAGGTGTGATGCTTCTAGTTCTGCTAAGCGTGAGCGTGATAGCGTTAGACGTAACCAAGATAACTTTTCTAGTCATATTATTGATTATTAGAATAATGCTCGAATCTTCATCAAGTTCTTAAAGGTCTTACATGAGATAACATTAAAATTTTTAAGCTCCCTTTCTGTATCATCAAATGAATGTTTGCACCAGATTGCTTGTATTCAAAAAATACTGCAAAGGAATATCATGAATAATGCTAATAACTTCTGGAGAGAAATGAGCACTAGCATGCAGGTGACGTATGACAAGTGTTGGGATCAAGTAGACAATATGAATCCATTACTTTTTGTGGCTATCATTTTGGACCCTTGATATAAACTAGCATATGTGAATCATATGTTTGATCTTCTTTATGCTGATCCTGAAATATGTTTAATTATGAAGGAGGGGGTCAAACATTGTTTATATTGGTTGTTTAATGAATACTATGCTAGGGTTTCTATTGAATCAGAGACTATCTCCACAAGGACAACAGGTGCAACTTCATTGCCTTCTTTTGATGATGATGATGGTGAAGAGGATCCAGGTCATAAGTAGTTTAAATCTATGAAACAAAGAACCTCAATGGATCCTTAAACTGAGTTAGATAGATATATAGCAACTAACTCGAGAGATAAAATCCCTTCTGCAGTTGAGTTTGACATATTGTTATGGTGGAAAGCTAATTTAGAAAAATATAAAATTCTCTCTCACATGGCATGAGGTGTATTGGCTATATCAATTTCTACAGTGGCTTCTGAGTTTACCTTTAGCAATGAAGGACGTGTGGTTGATCATTATAGGAGCTCTTTATCTCCTAAAATGACGGAAGCACTAATTTATAGCCAAGACTAGCTACAATCTGGGCAATCAATGTATGAATTTGTTGACAAGTTTTGTGAGTTCGATAATTTTGATGAGACAGGAAATGTCCTTCAACTTGCTAGTAATCTTTTTTCCCCCTAAACCTATAACTCATATATATATATATATATATATATTACTTCATAACTTGTAATGTAATTGTTTTTTTTATTTTTTTTTCCTAGATGCTACTACACCTAGAGAGGAGAATTTAATGGCTTTTGGTGATTGAATGGTCAATTTATAAGTATGACTAGCCATGTTGATAAGGTGCATCGGTGCATCATTTAAAATTTAGAAGTACATTTCTTTTCTTTTTTTTTTATAGTTTACTTTCTAATATGTTAAACTTATAGTTATTTTTATTTCTTTTTTTTAGGTGTTCTATCTTTTTCTGGAACTTGTGGAGATTGATACAAACCGTTTGAATTTCAAGGCTTCAATTATAACATTGAGATTGTCTTGCTTTAAATGGATTGTTGATCTTATTTAATTCGATAATTGTTAAGACTTGTTTTGGATTATTTTTGGATGATTTCAATGTATTAAAATATAAAATTATAAAATGTAATTTTTAGATATGGATGGAATTTTTTTCCATGACATGGGCAAGGCATCACTTTTTGGGCAACGAAACCCCCTCATGCCCAACCCAAAATGGTTAAGGCTTCTACGGGCAGCTGTTACTTCGGGTTGGGCATCGAACAAGGGCCTAACTCTGCCCATGTGCACCCCCAGTCAGCAGCAAGGGGTTTGAGAGATTTTTTTTCCCTAAATAAGAAGCGTTTTTGTGTTTTTGCGTTTTTAACTTAAATTTGAAAATCTCATTTTGGGATCCTTACCTGTCATAGGCATTATGAAATATTAGCCTTTTTTTTGGGCATTTCCCAATTTCCAATTCTTTTTTTAATCATTTTCGCAAATATATAACTATTTTCGTAATCATATGAGGTTCCTTACAACTCACACAAATTAATGTTTAGAATACAATCTAATCAGATTAATTTTAAATATCTTGTGAAAAGCAATTATTATTGCTAATTTATATTTATATATGGTATAAAATCTCTAACAAATTGCATTTGTCAGAATAAGTGCAACAAACGAGACTCAAAGTAGTTGAATAAACAATTAAAACCAGTAATTTTAGAATTCTAAAATTGAATTATATCAGGTTAAACGGAAGGGAAATAAATACATGGTGATCGAGCTTTTTCATGCTAACATCTTAAGGTATAACACTATGCTATTACTAATTTTAGAATTTATTTTGATTTGATTTGATACGTTCATTATTTATTTTATTGTCATCATTTTAATTTTCTTTCTTTTAATTTTAGAAGTGTTTGGATGGAAACCAAACGATGATTTCAAAAATGCTTTTACGATTTACGAAATAAATATATAGAGAAGTTTGTCTCGTTTTGGAGAAAACTATTTTTTAAAAACATTTTTTAGGGTTACCAAACACCCCTAGGCAACTTGTGATTATTGTCATCAAGGGACTTGGCTATGGTGAATATTCTACCATGAATTGGCCAAATGTCTAACCTCCTATTGTGAACCCTGTACATGTATTAACATGTCTTTAATAGCTCTTTCCACCTAATGTTACATATTATATATATATATATATATATATATATATTTGGCTCTAAATATAAGAGTTATTTGGTTAACTTAAGTAGATTAAAAAAATTAAATTAGTTATTTATAATAAATGAGTATTATTTTTCCTAAAATACCCTTATTAATCAAATGTTTTGGTTAGAATTATCATTGTTAGAATAATTATTTTTAAAAAAAAATATAAATATAAAAGATAAAATAATTAGAGTCTTATATTTAGGATCAAAATAAAAATAAAACAAGATTTTATACTAAAAAAAGAGGCAGTATATATGCAAACTCTCCTCACAAGTCATAAATAAAAATAAAACAAGATTTTATACTAAAAAAAGAGATAGTATATATGCAAACTCTCCTCACAAGTCATAACTCAAAAACGGCTTTCATGTGATTACATAGGCAGAACACTGTTTATAAAGCCGAGATTTGATGTCACAGGCCCACAGCTTAACCAACTACTCGATAAAAGTATCAACTTGGTGAGCACTTACGTCACGTCTTCGTTCAAATTTTAGATGGTAAGAGAGAAGAGTTTTTTTTTTTTTTTGCGTGCGTATTTTCAAATGTCAAATTTCCTAGCATAAAAATGCATTCATATAATTCACAACGTTACATCCTAAAATATTTGGCCAAAATTGATGATATGGATGCCAAGATCACCTATTAAACTATAATAACTACCAACCTTAGAATTTATTCTGCTATGTTAATTTTTTTTATTGTCATCATTTTAATTTTCTTTCTTCCTCTGTTTTTAGGTGACTGTGACGGTTATTGAATTGCTTGCCTATGAATATTTTGTCATGAATTGACGAAGTGACCAATCTTCTACTATTGAATCTTTGTATCTATTAATGTTTATTTAACAACTCTTATCAATAGTCATCACTCAAAAATGTCTTTCGTGTGATTACATGCACAAAACACGGTTAATAAAACCAACGTCATGTCATGACTCAACCAACTACTTTGATAAAATCATCAATTTAGTGAGTATGCACCTCACACCTTCATTCAAATTTTAGACGGCAAAAAAGAAGGCACGTCTGGCATATTTTCAAATGTCAAATTACCTAACATAAAAAGAAATACTCCTCCGATCCTTAATATAAGACCCATTTAACTAATTTGATTAGATTAAGGAAGTTAGGTAAGTTAGTTAATTATAAGAAAAGTGACACATTTTTCCTAAAACACCATAATCATCTTTCTTAATACCCCATCTCTCTCTTCTACTTGATTATGGTTGAGGGAGTATGCATAGGGATAATTTAGAGAAAATTGATAAATATGAGAAATAAGTCTTATATTTAGCACTAAAATTAACTCAAGAATTGGGTCCTATATTAAAGATTGAAGGAGTACATCCAATTTGCATTGTCATATCCTAAAATTATACACTCCAAAATATTTGATCATTATAGAGCATATGAATGTCAAAAGCATCCATGCTTTTTAACATTCATGTATGAAAAATAAAAAGAAATCTATATATGAGTTTAATGAAAAGAATTAGTCCCTCACAATGCGATGATAAATGTTACTCCCTCTGTTCCTTATTATAAGAGACATTTGGTGTTTATGGCATGTTCCTATATATAAGAGACACTTTAAAAGTTGTCTCTACTTTTTTGTGTTGATTTCCTATTTTACCCATATTTATTGTCTCAAATTCACACACTCTCTCCCTCTCACTTCTCTTTCTTTCAATAATTTAATTGTTCTCTCTCATACTTTCTCTCCTTATTAATGAGGACATTTTTGGGAAAAAAATTATATTTTTTACACATTGATTGTTCTTAACTAATTTTAACTGCTTTTTTGATCAACGTAATTCGGTTATTCGTCTCTTATAATAAGGAACGGAGGGAGTAGCATATAGACATCCGTGTATTAGGCCAAAATGGTGGATGGATATGGATGCACAAATTATGAGGGTTTCAACAAGTAAACTTCCTTTGTATTAATTTATGACAAGTTGCATTATGTTAATCCCAACTAGCCAACCAAGTGTTGTACACCTTTAAATGAAATAATATCAAGAGAGAGAAAAAAAAAGCCTTAAAATCTGAAACACTTTGATGCCAAAAAATAATTCAAGCCACTACAATTCTCCACATCCATGACTAATATAAAATATCAAGTTTGATCATTCATCTTTGCAAGGTACACTAGAAACGATCATGAATTCTGCTGTTTGTTCCCATTCCATCGAAACAGATAAGTCCAAGAGAAGAACAAGAACAGGGGAATGAACTTACACTATTGGCTGAAATATTGTCTGCTATTACAGCAAATTTGAATCTATCATTCCAAATAGAATCTGAAACTACTCTATATACTTAGACATTGCTGTGCAAACAAATCAATAAGATCCAGAATTTACAACGAGCTTATATGAAAATCAAACCAAGAACATAACTACAGATCAAGCAGTGGATTTCTGGGGTTGTGTGGTGGTTATTCTAAAGCAATCGATTAACTCATTTCTCTGAGTCATAACGTTGCCAAACAATTCATCCACCTCCTTGCTCGCATCGTCCATGAGTTTCTCCAACACATGAAGTTCTTTCTGCAATTCCATGGACGCATCAAGTTTCTCAGCATCTGAAGCAGCAAGAAGATTAGCCACAGAACCATTGATCTCTTCAATCTCTTTCAACACAGGCATTTTCTCTATCAGCATCAGTTCGTTGATTCTGGAATCAAGCGTGAAAACTGAAGAATCATCAAAACCACCTGTAATTTTTCTCATCTCCAAGTAGGGTTTCCATTCGCTGCATAAGCCAGACAAGAAAATCCCACATACCCAGAACACAATCCTCTTCAATTCATTTACAGCTTCATGAACAACCATTTGCTTACCTGAGCAATCCTTGGCCTCGCGATCCTCCGCCTTCGTATCTTCATCGAAACTAAGGTTGAAACGACCAGGCGGAATCGGTTTCAGATGCTTCATAGCTGAGGAGGGCGAATTCTCCAGGAGACTCAATCCATGACACAGAGACATCCGAGCCTGACCGAGGTGAGAAAGACAAGAAGAAATCGAATTGAAAAGATCAAGCAAATTCACGCTATACCGGAGAAACAATTGGACCGATTCAGAATCCCATGAGCTCATGGGATAATCGATATCCACCAGAAGCTTAGCGAAAGCCCTGTTGATTGAGGGTAAGAGGCCTAAGAACTTGTGGATCCATAAGAGGGAGAGGATTTCAGATTGGGGTAATTGGGAAATGGAATTGGAAGCTATGGATCGAAAAGCTTGAAGGGAAGATGAAAAGTGGTGTGATTGATGATGGTGGTGATGATCATGATGAGTGTGATTGTTGTGATCTTCCAGTTTCTTCGAAAATTTCTGAGCAGCCAAGAGTACCATCGAACGATCAGCGAAAGGAAGCTGTGATGATTATAATAATAGTTGGGAAATTCGGATTAAGTTGTTTGACAACTTGAATTTCTCAGTCAAGGTTTGAAATTTTGAATGTTTGGTTTTAGCTTCTAGGGACACTCTAAATCTCAATTTTATAACGTGCCCTTCTTCTTCTTCTATTATTATATTATTATCATTATTCAATATTAGTTGCTGGCAAAAATAATTCAATATTAGTTGGCTAAGGAAATTTAGTGTTCAATTCAATGCACTTTTATTTTAGGGAAAATTTCAGGAAAAAACCCTTGAAATATAAGCAATTTCAGATTGGATCCTGGAATTTTAAAAATGACAAAAAAAGTCATTGACCCAATATATCATTTATGAAATTAAGACGAATTGACAATTTTGCCCCTGGCTAAGTAAAAATGAGTAGTTATTCTCTAAACAAATATAGGTAACGCTTATACTGTTCTAATTATTACAAGATTAGTTGTAGTTAATAATAAGGTTACCTGACTATGAAAAAGTGAGTAGTTATTCTCCACATGAATCTAGATAATACTTACATTGTTTTAGTGATTACAAAATTAGTTGTAGTTAATAACAAGACACCTGACTATGAAAAAGTGAGTAGTTATTCGCTACATGAATCTAGGTAACGCCTAAACCCTTATAGTAATTCCTTAAATCATTGTAGTGAATGAATACAAATGAGGGCAAAATTGTCAATTCCTCTTGATTTTACAAATGATAAATTAGGTCACTGATCCTTTCTGTCATTTTTTAAATTCCATGACCAAATCTGAAATTTCTTATATTCTAAAGACCTTGTTTGGAATTTTTCCTTTATTTTATCCTTGACGGTAAAAATTACTTTTAATTTTTCTCTCAGCATTTTTTTCCTCAAAAATACTACCTCCGGTCCTAATTATAAGACCCAGTTGACTAATTTCAGGAGATTAAGGAAGTAAGTTAAGTTAGTTATTTGTAACAAATAAGTGTTGTCATTCCTAAAATATCCTTGCTAATTAAGTGTGTTGGTTAGAACTATCATTATTAGAAGGATTATCTTGAAAAAAAATGCATAAATATGATAGACAAAATGGATTGGGGTCTTATAATTAGGACCAAACTAAAAGTCAAACGGGGTCTTATATTAAGGACCGGAGGTAGTACATATTTAGTCTTTTAATTTTATATAAAATTTTTATTTTGCCTTTTAACTTAAAAAATATCTCTTGGTGTTAATAACCCTGAAATCATTAGTTTGAAATAATAATTTTTTAAAAATTATTATTATTTCAAAAATTAAACTGATATATTAGTAATTAAGAATCTTTTATCAGTATGTTTTATCAGTATTAAAGTCTCAATTTCATTTTTTTCAAGGTTAACAACATTGGAGCTAAATCACTAAGAAGACATACCTTTACATTTTTTGCCCCTCAAATTTGCTTCCAGGAATAGTATACATATTATTCATCACTTGTTAATTTGTAAATGGCTTCCAATACGTGTGGGTAACTATCACTTTGAAATACTTTAAAAAAAAACTATCACTTTGAAATTTATTATTATATTACCATTATTCAATATTAGCAGCGAAAAAGAGATTTATTTCATTTTCCATTTTTTCATGATAAGACAATAAATACTAAAATAATTACTTAAGTTAATTATTTAAGCATTTATTAAATTTACTTATTCTCCATGTCAACACATACCCAACTAAAATATTCTGCACAGCTCAAAAGATACCATGTGCTCCCAAATATACTCCAACTTTACTCCTGGACTTAGGTATTAAGAAATTTAATACTCCTCCGGTTCTAAATGTAAGACCCTTATACACACTTGTATAAGGGTTTTACATTTAGGACCGGAAGAGTACATTATTACTGGTAGCTTGAGAGGGAAGCAGAACAATTTGATTTAAACAGAAATTTAATAAATGTAGGCTTATTATTATTATTATTATTATTATTATTATTATTATTATTATTATTATTATTATTATTTTGATTGATTCTTTTTCTTCTCTTACGTCCACATTAAGGATTTCTGTGAATGTTATAGAACATGACTCAAGAAATATATAGTGAAGCTCGGAAAAGCAAAGAAGCGTTAGAGCATCTTTTCCCCCCATGAACATTATGTCTGAGAGCTACTTTCTTGAGTGGGAAAAAAAAAAAGATAAAATTATATTCAGTATCCTAATTTTATTCTTATTAGTATTCAACATGCATTAGTGTTATTTTCTCAGTACATTAACACTTACTGATTTGTTTTCCTAATTACACCCAACACCTTAATATTATTTATAATTTAACATCCTAAAATATATTATAAATAAGGTTAAAGTGTTAAAAGATGAATGCATCATAAATAAAATTAAAATACATGATACAATTAGAAAATAATACGAAGGTGCTAGACATTACTTTATGAAAAAAAAATATTTTAATTGAAAAGTGTGGGGCTTACGCGCTTTATAAAAGAATTAAATAAATGATTACATTATTTATTTGATTAATTTAAAATTAAATGAACCGACAAGTTTTTTTCTTCTTCCAAAACATAGGTATCCGTATCCTCTTATTGGAGACAATTCTATTCGAGGCACTGTCGAGTATTAAATGTAGGCATTTTTCTCAGCGGGGATTCAAACTTTAATTCACCACGTTGTAAGAAACTAGTCCATTCTGTTAGATCCAATCCCGTTGGTATGAACTGACAAGTTAACGTTAATGTAATGCATATCTTTTTTGGGCTTGGCTGGTTGATACGTAACAAATCATCACTTATTATAACTGGTTCAGGAGCTTCATCTTTAGACTGGTCACAACGTTCAGAAAATTGCGCAGCAAGATTGGTTTAAATTTTAATTAAGTAATAAACCGGTGTATATTGACTTGCAATATACTAATATCCATAATATATTATGCAGAGTATAAAATCTGTATGACGTAAAATCAAGTCTGCAAATTAAATATTCTCCGTACATTGCTTGCAATTTCAATGTACTGACTATACTTATTTTTTATTGTCCAACATAAAGAGTATATTACTAAAAAAAAAAAAAAAAAACTCTCTTAATAATATAGAAGTTAGACTTAGACGATTAATTCATCCAGATTAAAAAAATTAGTTAAATTAATTGTTATTAAAATGTATATATTTTTACAAAAGCTGAAATCACTCTAAAATATAAATTAAATTACTTTAAAAGACCAACTGACTTTTTTAAAAAAAAATCCACCCGTAATCAAATATCCTTTATTTTTGCCCAACTTTAAATTTACATAAATCGCTTAAATAAAATTCACTTCCACTGATGCTAACTAAACAAGCCCACGGTTGGTAAATGGGAACTCAATAAAGAAGTGGGACCATATTTATGAGCTGGAGAGGCGGTTATGCCAAATTGATTTGTGGAATTTTTTACCAAATAGACACTCTCTTAATTAAAAATCTAATATTAATTCAACTTACAAAAACTAACTTTTTTAATAAATCTAACCCGAGTTGCTAAGAGGGTGTTTGGATGAAAATCAAACTATAATCTCAAAGAGTGATTTTACGGCCTACGAGGTAAATTGTGGAGGAGTTTATTTCAATTTGCGAAAAAGTACTTCTAAAAAAAGCACTTTTTAGGGTATCCAAACACCCTTTAAGTTGAGTTGTGGAATCATTTTTCAGTATTTTTTTTAAAACAATCCTATTTAAAAATTATCAGATACTAATATAAGTATTTTTTTTAATAAGAATTCAAATTTTAATTGGTAACAGTAAAACCCAACCCACTGGGTGCTTCTTTGGTATCTATGCTTGAGTTTGACGTCAGCTTTTCCGTGAAGTGTCCTTTTAGCTTTTTCTCTTCCTTTCGGGGTTGCTGGGCCCTCTTGAGCTTGCACGCACCGCCTTCCACCTCAAGCTAACAAACCATGGGCTCACACAGTCACACACATCATGTTTCGTGCGCCCCTAATTAATATATTTAGATATAAAACTCTTATTTCTGATTTTAAATAGAAGACTCTTTAAAAAAAGAGTCTTATATTTAGGATCGAAAAGTATTTGGTATTTTCAATATTTATTTGAAAAGATTAATCATTTTTCATCTATAATTTTTGATTTAGTGATAACTTAATCCTTTAATTTTCACTTGATACAATACATTTTTTATAATATTGATTCAATTGAAGTTCAGTCATCAAGCTTTAATTTGATATAACTCAATTTAACCATAGTTTTGATTATTTATGATTTAAAATACTAGTCACTAAGTTTTAAGAAATAACTTTAGTCCTTATAATTTTGTTTTCTAAAATATAGGGACGGATATTTCAAATATTTACAACTATGGTGATCAAATAGCATTGAATTAGAGTTAAGAAATTGAGTTTAATCAAGTCAAAATCATATAATTTTGGAATTTAGTGATATCGAATCAAAATTCAAATATTCTTAACTTTTAAGGATTTTAATAATGTATTAACAATTTTGTTTAGATTGTTTTACCTTTCATTAATGGAGATAATGATGTAAAACATTAAAAATGAGAATATTCAATATAAGGGTGATTTAATTAATGTTTCATATTTGCTGGCATGCAAACAAATCTAAATCCTTTCCGAACATTGTTTCAGGGTCAGTTAGTTGGGTGTGAGAGAAATGGAGGGGGAGAGAAAATTTTAACAAGTTTGGTTTAAAAAAATTGAAGAAGTAGGATTAAAAAAATCTTAATTAATTTTTTTATTCTTTTATCTTACATATTATTTTTATCAACATTTTATAACCCTACATTTCTAATTTCTTAAATTGAGCTAATTAAAATCTTTCTCCTCATCTCTCGTCGTGAGTTCAACTAGCGAAGGGACGGACTCTCTTACCAAAGGGAGGGGGTTCGATCCTGGGAGTACCACTTTGTTGTGGCTCCAGTCGTGGGTTGGGTGAGGCATATCATAGCATAGTGAAGCTAGGAGATTCCTATTTATTGAGCCAGAAAAAAAAAAGGCTTTTGTCATGCTCCCATGCCCGTAAGGACAGATTTCAGTGGATCAAGCGTTAGGTGTCCTATCTTTGGATCATGGATGAGTCCAACCCTGTTCCTAAAATTTATT